TAGTGAAATAAATGAACTTTTGCACGATATTCTAATTATTCGAGTTTCACCTGCAGATAGATATAAAAAAATCGTGGCTGTGAGAGTCATAGAGAGCAAGCCACACAGACAGCCCAGTGGGACAGTGCGGTGAGACAGAGAGAGACCCGCGAGAGACTAGACAGATCAGAGAAAGACGCACAAAAGAGAGTGATAGAAAGTTTAGAGACAGTTTCATCTTTACAACATGTGGAGGAAATGGTTCCTCTGTAGCACAAGCAGAGCCATGAGAAGATCTCTTCTGATGACTCACAGGAAGGAGTTCTTCTCCAGCTCTGTCACAGCTGCAGATTACACAATCTATCTGACACTTGTGTGTGCTCCTTCATGAGAAGGGAGAGGGCCCAGCACAGTCAGATCAGCCCAGCAGAGAAGAACACAGCTGATTACATTTTGCAGATGATAACCTGATCCTCAGTGGACTGAAGATCATATGGAGGGAATTTTGAATTTGTAGGGCTCTGGCCTATTAGTGCATTAAAAAAAAAAAACAGTACTGTGACTCATGACAATGTACACATAGATGCATTGTCCCTGCACCTGTATATTAACACAATAAATACAAATCACTTACAAAGGTGGAAATGGTTTTTAAGTGTCTTGCGTGTCTAAGACTTTGTTTACAATGATTGGGCCCACTCTACAACATGCTGTAGTGGTGATGGAAATTTGTCAGACTTGGCAAAGGGAGGATGATAAGGGAACCCAGTTTCATGTCGCGATATTTAGAGATGTTGGGCTGATTGGAGTTGCTTCCAGGTGCACTGTGCTTTTTTGTCGATCAGCTGGCTACCACTCTTCTTCGGCTGTCGAGGCTTGGTCTTTTATCTGCAGTGCACAGAATTCTCTGTCTTAAGTGTCTGAAACGGACTCCTTTCAGCGGAGACCGCTTGTTTACAGAAGGCCTGAATGCGTTTATTAAGAAGAACACGGGTGGGATCTTTTATGCAGCAATCGGAAGCTTAAGGCTTCCCCCCCTCAAAAACTTCCCTGTGTCCGCCTCAGATGAGTTCTTTGGACCTAGAAGTAGAGGCCTGGGGCTGCCAAACAGGGTTCCCAGTTTAAATATAAGCCCTGGACCCCCAAGCCCAATAGCAAACATTTGTTCTCCTTTGCAGAGGTTTGTGAGTGGGACTCTGTGTATCCACTCCATTGTCTCTCATTGCTACAAACGAGTTTTCCCAGGGTTGTCCTGTCTTTTTCATGACTCCCAATGTCCCTATTTCTCCTCCATGGTGGGAAGCTATAGATTGTCTTGCTGACTGTCACCCCTGTTCTCATGTGGGAACACTTCCTTGGCTTGTATTCTATGGCTTCCATTCTGGACCTAAAGGAGTACCCACTTTCCCCAGCAGAAGAATCCTAAAGAGCAGGCTTGCAAGTCCTTTACCCCTTCTTGGAAGTGTCCCTTTTCCTTCAGTTTATCCTCA